CTCTCTCCCTCTTTCTCTCCCTCCCTTTCTCCTTGGGAATAAGTCTTCACAGCTTCCTGGCATTTTCTGGTAACTCCGTGGCGGGATTCCCTGAGCCTCCGCTGTCCTGTCAAAGGCTCCGCTGAATTGCGAATTGAAATTGAAAATTGGTTTATGTGTGTTGACAGGCGGACGGCGTCGGCACGCCCCGTTGGCGGAATGGGACTGGTGGCGACGGGAGAATATGTCTCCAGGGCTCGACGCCAGCTGTGAACGTCTTGCGAGGTGCTAGAAACTAGTCTGACGTCCTCTGGTCCGTTTGGGAGGTCGTGGGACATAGACCAGGTTCCTCTGGTCTTTTGGGAGGTCGTGGGAAATAGACCAGGTTCCTCTGGTCGTTTGGGAGGTCGTGGGACATAGACCAGGTTCCTCTGGTCGTTTGGGAGGTCGTGGGACATAGACCAGGTTCCTCTGGTCGTCTGGGAGGTCGTGGGACATAGATCAGGTTCCTCTGTCTGTTTGGGAGGTCGTGGGATATAGACCAGGTTCCTCTGGTCGTTTGGGAGGTCGTGGGACATAGATCAGGTTCCTCTGTCTGTTTGGGAGGTCGTGGAAAATAGCCTAAGCTACTCTATCCATTTGAGATCTATTACATTATTCCAATAAACTTACTTGGTCTTCATTTTGAACTTAGGGTTATCATGTATTCATCAATTATGCTGTTGGCTGGAGGACTTAATTCATCGCTAAGTATGTCTTCTGACAAGACAGTTATCGATGGTTTGTTTTGCTGTTAAATTCACAATTAAGAGATGAATTTAGGGTAGCTGGAACTATTTGCTGTTCCTGGCTTCCTCAGAGTTCCCGACCCACTCCCAGTGTTCCTCACTCACTCTCAGTGTTCCTGGCCCACTCTCAGTGTTCCTGACTCACTCTCAGTGTTCCTGGCCCACTCTCAGTGTTCCTGACTCACTCTCAGTGTTCCTGGCCCACTCTCAGTGTTCCTGACTCACTCTCAGTGTTCCTGGCCCACTCTCAGTGTTCCTGACTCACCCTCAGTGTTCCTGACTCACTCTCAGTGTTCCTGACTCACTCTCAGTGTTCCTGGCCCACTCTCAGTGTTCCTGGCCCATTCTCAGTGTTCCTGACTCACCCTCAGTGTTCCTGACTCACCCTCAGTGTTCCTGACTCACTCTCAGTGTTCCTGACTCACTCTCAGTGTTCCTGACTCACTCACAGTGTTCCTGACTCACTCTCAGTGTTCCTGACTCACTCTCAGTGTTCCTGACTCACCCCTCAGTGTTCCTGACTCACCCTCAGTGTTCCTGACTCACCCTCAGTGTTCCTGACTCACCCTCAGTGTTCCTGACTCACCCTTGCAGTGTTCCTGACTCACCCCTCAGTGTTCCTGACTCACCCTTGCAGTGTTCCTGACTCACCCTCAGCGTTCCTGACCCACTCTCAGTGTCCCTGACTCACTCTCAGTGTTCCTGACTCACCCTCAGTGTCCCTGACTCACCCTCAGTGTTCCTGACTCACTCTCAGTGTCCCTGACTCACCCTCAGTGTTCCTGACTCACCTTCAGTGTTCCTGACTCACCCCTCAGTGTTCCTGACTCACCCTCAGTGTTCTTGACTCATCCCTCAGTGTTCCTGACTCACTCTCAGTGTTCCTGACTCACTCTCAGTGTTCCTGGCCCACTCTCAGTGTTCCTGACCCACTCTCAGTGTTCCTGACCCACTCTCAGTGTTCCTGGCCCACTCTCAGTGTTCCTGACTCACTCTCAGTGTTCCTGGCCCACCCTCAGTGTTCCTGACTTACCCTCAGTGTTCCTGACTCACCCTCAGTGTTCCTGACTCACCCTCAGTGTTCCTGACTCACCCTCAGTGTTCCTGACTCACCCTCAGTGTTCCTGACTCACTCTCAGTGTTCCTCACCCTCAGTGAGGGTGTTCACCCTCAGTGTTCCTCTTCCTGACTCACCCTCAGTGTTCCTGACTCACCCTCAGTGTTCTTAACCCACACTCAGTGTTCCTGACTCACCCTCAGTGTTCTTGACCCACCCTCAGTGTTCCTGACTCACCCTCAGTGTTCCTGACTCACCCTCAGTGTTCCTGACTCACCCTTGCAGTGTTCCTGACTCACCCTCAGTGTTCCTGACTCACTCTCAGTGTTCTTGACTCACTCTAAGTGTTCCTGACTCACCCACAGTGTTCCTGACTCACTCTCAGTATTCCTGACTCACTCTCAGTGTTCCTGACTTACCCTCAGTGTTCCTGAGTCACTCTCAGTGTTCCTGACTCACTCTCAGTGTTCCTGACTCACCCTCAGTGTTCCTGACTCACCCTCAGTGTTCCTGACTCACTCTCAGTGTTCCTGACTCACCCTCAGTGTTCCTGACTCACCCTCAGTGTTCCTGACTCACTCTCAGTGTTCCTGACTCACCCTCAGTGTTTCTGACTCACCCTCAGTGTTCCTGACTCACTCTCAGTGTTACTTACTCACCCTCAGTGTTCCTGACTCACCCTCAGTGTTCCTGACTCACTCTCAGTGTTCCTGACTCACTCTCAGTGTTCCTGACTCACCCTCAGTGTTCTTGACTCACCCTCAGTGTTCCTGACTCTCAGTGTTCCTGACTCACCCTCAGTGTTCCTGACTCACCCTCAGTGTTCCTGACTCACTCTCAGTGTTCCTGACTCACCCTCAGTGTTCCTGACTCACTTTCAGTGTTCCTGACTCACCCTCAGTGTTCCTGACTCACCCTCAGTGTTCCTGACTCACTCTCAGTGTTCCTGACTCACCCTCAGTGTTCCTGACTCACCCTCAGTGTTCCTGACTCACCCTCAGTGTTCCTGACTCACCCTCAGTGTTCCTGACTCACCCTCAGTGTTCCTGACTCACCCTCAGTGTTCCTGACTCATCCTCAGTGTTCCTGACTCACCCTTACAGTGTTCCTGACTCACTCTCAGTGTTCCTGACTCACTCTCAGTGTTCCTGACTCACTCTCAGTGTTCCTGACTCACCCTTAGTGTCCCCGACTCACTCTCAGTGTTCCTGACTCACCCTCAGTGTTCCTGACTCATCCACAGTGTTCCTGACTCACCCTCAGTGTTCCTGACTCACCCTCAGTGTTCCTGACTCACCCTCAGTGTTCCTGACTCACCCTCAGTGTTCCTGACTCATCCTCAGTGTTCCTGACTCACCCTTGCAGTGTTCCTGACTCACTCTCAGTGTTCCTAACTCACCCTCAGTGTTCCTGACTCACCCTCAGTGTTCCTGACTCACTCTCAGTGTTCCTGACTCACCCTCAGTGTTCCTGACTCACCCACAGTGTTCCTGACTCACCCTCAGTGTTCCTGACTCACCCTCAGTGTTCCTGACTCACCCACAGTGTTCCTGACTCACCCTCAGTGTTCCTGACTCACCCTCAGTGTTCCTGACTCACTCTCAGTGTTCCTGACTCACCCTCAGTGTTCCTGACTCACCCTCAGTGTTCCTGACTCACTCTCAGTGTTCCTGACTCACCCTCAGTGTTCCTGACTCACCCACAGTGTTCCTGACTCACCCTCAGTGTTCCTGACTCACCCTCAGTGTTCCTGACTCACTCTCAGTGTTCCTGACTCACCCTCAGTCTTCCTGACTCACCCTCAGTCTTCCTGACTCACCCTCAGTGTTCCTGACTCACCCTCTGTCTTCCTGACTCACCCTCAGTGTTCCTGACTCGCCCACAGTGTTCCTGACTCACTCTCAGTGTTCCTGACTCACCCTCAGTCTTCCTGACTCACCCTCAGTCTTCCTGACTCACCCTCAGTGTTCCTGACTCACCCTCAGTGTTCCTGACTCACTCTCAGTGTTCCTGACTCACCCTCAGTCTTCCTGACTCACCCTCAGTCTTCCTGACTCACTCTCAGTGTTCCTGACTCACCCTCAGTCTTCCTGACTCACCCTCAGTGTTCCTGACTCACTCTCAGTGTTCCTGACTCACCCTCAGTCTTCCTGACTTACCCTTGCAGTGTTCCTGACAACATAATTGTTCATTTTTTAACGATAGATTAAGTTCCTTTTTTACAATTTAATTAACCAATTTAAATGCGAAGGGAGAAGGGGAGTGATGGTGGTGATGGTGGTGGTGATGGTGGTGGTGGTGGTGATGGTGGTAGTGGTGGTGATGGTGGTGGTGGTGGTGATGGTGGTAGTGATGGTGGTGGTGGTGGTGGTGATGGTGGTAGTGGTGGTGGTGGTGGTGGTGATGGTGGTGGTGGTGGTGGTGGTGGTGGTGGTGGTGATGGTGGTGGTGGTGGTGATGATACTGGTGGTGGTGGTGGTGGTGGTGGTGGTGGTGGTGGTGGTGGTGGTGGTGGTGGTGGTGGTGGTGGTGGTAGTGGTGGTGAAGACGTGGTAGGAATATTTATGAAAAAGAAGGAATTACAGAGAACATTTAAAGACAAAATAAAGCCAGATAAATTACTGGGACCGTCTCACAGTTCTCAAACTGTATACTCTGTAGAAAGGAAACGAGAGAGAGATACCACATCTATATAATATATAAAATGAAGATACTATAGATATCTTTTTATCCCAGCCTGCTTCTCCATCTCGTTCCCTATGGAACAGAATTAAAAAAAAAAATTTACCCATCTGGATAGCTACCCAATCTTCATTTTCCTGACATTTCCTGACAAACTCAAGTTTGCAAGGAATTATTTGTTTACATTTAGGTCCGTGTTGCCTATAAACACAAGGTTTATCCTTGTCAGATGTTCCATTATTCTTAATCTGATTACTTTCTCCAGCACTTTGAGTGAGACATTTGTCAGTGACACTGATGAATGAAGAAGTTGGTGCTTCCTGTCTTCTTCCCGTTTTTTTTATAATATTGAGGTAATACTGATCTAGAATTCGGTGCTTCCTGTCTTCTTTATTTTTAAAAAATAAAGAGAAAGTTTTATTGATTTTAACTAACAGAACACAAAGATCATCTGCAGCCTCATTCAGTCAACCTGTCTTCTCTAATAATACATCGGACTTTGACCTCAAAATCCCCAACGGACGATATATGATGTACTGGTATTACAAATCACAGCGCGGCATACAAACATTCCCGTTTTCTTTACGCGGGGTCGCTCCCTTGGGTTAGCAACCCGTTCTCGCACTTTCTTACAGTCAATATTGACTTATTAAATAAGTGCATATGTGACATACTAATTTATTGTGAATATTTTAGTTTACGTTGAAAAGCTTCATAGAAAACACCGACCTTACCTAACCTTTTTATTATGTTAAGATAAGCATCTTATTGCTTCGTAATTACAATTATTACTTAACCTAGGTAAGGTCGGTGTTTTCTATGAAGCTTTTCAAGGTAAACTAAAATATTCACAATAAATTAGTATGTCACATATGCACTTATTTAATAAGTCAATATTGACTGTAAGAAAGTGCGAAAACGGGTTGCTTGGGTTAGGTGCGGTTCGGTTGTTTTTAGAACATCATATTCTGTCCGTTGTGGCAACTAGAGAGGACGGACTGCTTCAGCAAGTGTTGTGATATTACGCCTTAGCCTATTGATTACACTGGACAGAACAACCTTCACTTTCGCCTGTACCAGACGAGGCATACTGATAAAAAAACATACTGGACAAAATTGCCTCCAGAAATGTCATGACCGGACAAAAATAGGGGGAAAAGCGGCCACTGAGGACGCGAGGAGCGGACAGACCAGTTCCAGCAAGACCCGGTGCTGGACAAAGAACCAATTTCCTGGCTGCGCGTCCGACTCTAACGTCGTGTTAACTTTGTTGGAGTGAGAAAGAGACACTTAGCAACTTCCCGCTCGATGGGAGAGGGGGGTGGGGGGGGGGGGTAGGAGGGGGCGGGGGGGGGAGGGGTAAGGAGAGAAACTTACCCTTTCCTCCTCCCCCTTCCCCCTTCTCCTCCCCCCCCCCCCCCCTCCCCCTCCTTTTCCTCCTCCTTAAACAACCTTCTCTGAACGCTCCTTTTCCTTTTGCTTCTTCAATTCTTCCTCCTCTTGCTGCCCCTTCCGACTCCTGCCCTCCTCCTTCCCCTCCATTTTCCCCTCTCCCTCCTCCTCCTCCTCCTTCTCCTTCTCCTCCTTCTCCAAATAAATATGGACAACAATTAATGTAATCTGAAGACGGCTGAGATACATGCTAAAAGAAATTACAAATACAGACTCTTTCGGTGAGTCCTTCTTCAGCGACCTTGTCGAGCCACTCGTCCCTCTATCGAGCGAAGCTGTCTATCAGCCACTGTCGACGGTGATTTGGGGATCTAAAAAAAACTATGAGATCGAAAATCTGGTCAATTTGGATCTCTGAGGAAGAGTCGAGTCTTGGAAACTCTGTCGAATTCAGCAGCGTTCTTGGCTCTCCCGCCACCAGACTTTCCTTCACGGCCGGCAAGCCAAACTTACCAGAAAAGTTGAGCTAACGAGGCTCTGCCCCGGACTTTGATAGGATCCCCAGGCTCCTCTCTCCCCCCCCCCCCCTTCCCTTACTCTCTCCCTCCGTTGTTCTCTCCCTTCCCCTCCCTCTCCTTCCCCTCCCATATCCTACTTTCCCCCCCTTTCTTTCATGTCAGTGGCACTGGTCTCATGCCAGTGGCCAGATTCACGAAGCAGTTACACAAGCACTTACGAACCTGGGGCCAGATTCACGAAGCAGTTACGCAAGCACTTACGAACCTGGGGCCAGATTCATGAAGCAGTTACGCAAGCACTTACGAACCTGGGGCCAGATTCACGAAGCAGCTACGCAAGCACTTACGAACCTGGGGCCAGATTCACGAAGCAGTTACGCAAGCACTTACGAACCTGGAGCCAGATTCACGAAGCAATTACGCAAGCACTTACGAACGTGTACATCTTTCCTCAATCTTTGACGGCTTTGGTTACATATGTTAAACAGTTTACGAGCATGAAAACTTGCCAACCAACGGTTGTTATTGTTGTAAACAGCCTCCTGGTGCTTCGGAACTCATTAACTCTTTAATAATTGTAAACAAAGTCGCCAAAGATTGAATAAAGATGCACACGTTCGTAAGTGCTTGCGCAACTACTTCGTGAATCTGGCCTCTGAGATTGTGAAGATGGCAGGTTACATTGACGAGAGAGAGACACAGACGATGATCATAGCTACACGGATCATGTGTCCGCGTCATGACAATACATATGGGACGGACACATGTATGGGTGGCAGAACTATAGTGCTCAATGAAGCTGACATTTTGAATTTGAAGTTTGACTCCAAAAACATCGAAGAATCACGTGTTGAACCTCGTAAGTAAGGCAGCCAAGAAACTTGCAGTGCTAAGACCCATTTCATGCCTTCTCAACAGCAAAGGGTTGCAAAATTTGAACAATTGAAACACAAGTTCGCTTCCATCTTGAGTATGTACCACTCGCAGACGAGGAGTCACAATAACGTGACTGAAGTATGTTGAACAGACCACACACTAGAAGGTGAAGGGACGACGACGACGTTTCGGTCCGTCCTGGACCATTCTCAAGTCGATTGTGAACATTATCGATCAAGATCAAGAACATTATTCTATCTGATTGTCACCTAATCTCTATGTTCACGTATCGCCCTGGAGGTAAGCAACTGTTGTGGGGCTATATATATATATATATATATATATATATATATATATATATATATATATATATATATATATATATATATATATATATATATATATATATCGTGTATGTGTACACTCGATTTCCTACCTAAGGCGTCACGAAAAGAATTGAAACATTTACTTTAATAAACAAGCCCTAGACACGAAAAACAGACAATGAATTGCGACTGACATCTCTCTACCCCCACCCCAACCCCTCAACCCCTCAACCTCTCAACCCCCAACCCCCAACCCCCCTTTATTCCATCTTACAGTTTAAGTTGTGGGCGGAGCTGGAGGAGGTGAGGGGGGGGTGTTTGGAAGAAGGGGTGAAGGGGGGGGGGCAGGATAATCATTATATGTCAATCATTTTGCCTCTGAGGGTGGGGGATCCTTGATCCCCCACCCCCTGGGGGAGGATCTGAGGATCCTTGCTGTAGCCATCCACTGTACCCAATGCATAACAATACTCTCCCCCCCCCTTCCCTTCCCTTCCCTTCCCCCTGCCAGTCACCCCTCCCCATTGACAATAGCCCCCTCCCCCTCCCTCACTTGCCCCCCCCCATCGAGGGAATCGAGAGCCATAGTGGACAAACTAGATTGTGTACAATAGACCTGTTATATGCAATCATAAGCCTACTGCTCTAGGCCTAAGATATTGCCTCGTTTTCTGCCATTTTTTTTACATTACCATTAGTACACAATGTGTGGTCTTTGGAGGGTCCAGAGTGAGCCTATGCTTCAGACAGTCGCTATATGTACTATCATATAAGACATGAGTCACACAGGTATTCATCGTCAATTGAGAATTATATAACAAGTTGAATGTTCCTTATTTATGTCTTTGTCAGCTGTGATTGTTGCTGTGTATCCGTCAGCTGTGATTGTTGCTGTGTATCCGTCAGCTGTGATTGTTGGTGTGTATCCGTCAGCTGTGATTGTTGGTGTGTATCCGTCAGCTGTCATTGTTGCTGTGTATCCGTCAGCTGTGATTGTTGCTGTGTATCCGTCAGCTGTCATTGTTGGTGTGTATCAGTCAGCTGTCATTGTTGCTGTGTATCCGTCAGCTGTGATTGTTGGTGTGTATCCGTCAGCTGTGATTGTTGCTGTGTATCCGTCAGCTGTCATTGTTGGTGTGTATCCGTCAGCTGTGATTGTTGGTGTGTATCCGTCAGCTGTCATTGTTGCTGTGTATCCGTCAGCTGTGATTGTTACTGTGTATCCGTCAGCTGTCATTGTTGGTGTGTATCCGTCAGCTGTCATTGTTGCTGTGTATCCGTCAGCTGTGATTGTTGGTGTGTATCCGTCAGCTGTCATTGTTGCTGTGTATCCGTCAGCTGTCATTGTTGGTGTGTATCCGTCAGCTGTGATTGTTGGTGTGTATCCGTCAGCTGTCATTGTTGGTGTGTATCCGTCAGCTGTGAGTGTTGGTGTGTATCCGTCAGCTGTCATTGTTGGTGTGTATCCGTCAGCTGTCATTGTTGGTGTGTATCCGTCAGCTGTCATTGTTGCTGTGTATCCGTCAGCTGTGAGTGTTGGTGTGTATCCGTCAGCTGTCATTGTTGTTGTGTATCCGTCAGCTGTGATTGTTGCTGTGTATCCGTCAGCTGTGATTGTTGCTGTGTATCCGTCAGCTGTGATTGTTGCTGTGTATCCGTCAGCTGTGATTGTTGCTGTGTATCCGTCAGCTGTGAGTGTTGGTGTGTATCCGTCAGCTGTGAGTGTTGGTGTGTATCCGTCAGCTGTCATTGTTGCTGTGTATCCGTCAGCTGTGAGTGTTGGTGTGTATCCGTCAGCTGTCATTGTTGTTGTGTATCCGTCAGTTGTGATTGTTGCTGTGTATCCGTCAGCTGTGATTGTTGCTGTGTATCCGTCAGCTGTGATTGTTGGTGTGTATCCGTTAGCTGTCATTGTTGGTGTGTATCCGTCAGCTGTCATTGTTGGTGTGTATCCGTCAGCTGTGAGTGTTGGTGTGTATCCGTCAGCTGTCATTGTTGTTGTGTATCCGTCAGCTGTGATTGTTGCTGTGTATCCGTCAGCTGTGATTGTTGCTATGTATCCGTCAGCTGTGATTGTTGCTATGTATCCGTCAGCTGTGATTGTTGGTGTGTATCCGTCAGCTGTGATTGTTGCTGTGTATCCGTCAGCTGTGATTGTTGCTGTGTATCCGTCACCTGTGATTGTTGCTGTGTATCCGTCACCTGTGATTGTTGCTATGTATCCGTCAGCTGTGATTGTTGCTGTGTATCCGTCACCTGTGATTGTTGCTATGTATCCGTCAGCTGTGATTGTTGGTGTGTATCCGTCAGCTGTGATTGTTGCTGTGTATCCGTCAGCTGTGATTGTTGGTGTGTATCCGTCAGCTGTGAGTGTTGGTGTGTATCCGTCAGCTGTCATTGTTGTTGTGTATCCGTCAGCTGTCATTGTTGTTGTGTATCCGTCAGCTGTCATTGTTGGTGTGTATCCGTCAGCTGTGATTGTTGCTGTGTATCCGTCAGCTGTGATTGTTGCTGTGTATCCGTCAGCTGTCATTGTTGGTGTGTATCCGTCAGCTGTCATTGTTGTTGTGTATCCGTCAGCTGTGATTGTTGCTGTGTATCCGTCAGCTGTGATTGTTGCTGTGTATCCGTCACCTGTGATTGTTGCTATGTATCCGTCAGCTGTGATTGTTGGTGTGTATCCGTCAGCTGTGATTGTTGCTGTGTATCCGTCAGCTGTGATTGTTGCTGTGTATCCGTCAGCTGTGATTGTTGCTGTGTATCCGTCAGCTGTGATTGTTGCTGTGTATCCGTCAGCTGTGATTGTTGCTGTGTATCCGTCAGCTGTGATTGTTGCTGTGTATCCGTCAGCTGTGATTGTTGCTGTGTATCCGTCACCTGTGAGTGTTGGTGTGTATCCGTCAGCTGTGATTGTTGCTGTGTATCCGTCAGCTGTGATTGTTGCTATGTATCCGTCAGCTGTGATTGTTGCTGTGTATCCGTCAGCTGTGATTGTTGCTGTGTATCCGTCAGCTGTGATTGTTGCTGTGTATCCGTCAGCTGTGATTGTTGCTGTGTATCCGTCAGCTGTGATTGTTGCTGTGTATCCGTCAGCTGTGATTGTTGCTATGTATCCGTCAGCTGTGATTGTTGCTGTGTATCCATCAGCTGTGAGTGTTGGTGTGTATCCGTCAGCTGTGATTGTTGCTGTGTATCCGTCAGCTGTGATTGTTGCTGTGTATCCGTCAGCTGTGATTGTTGCTATGTATCCGTCAGCTGTGATTGTTGCTGTGTATCCGTCAGCTGTGATTGTTGCTGTGTATCCGTCAGCTGTGATTGTTGCTGTGTATCCGTCAGCTGTGATTGTTGCTGTGTATCCGTCAGCTGTGATTGTTGCTGTGTATCCGTCAGCTGTGATTGTTGCTATGTATCCGTCAGCTGTGATTGTTGCTGTGTATCCGTCAGCTGTGATTGTTGCTGTGTATCCGTCAGCTGTGATTGTTGCTGTGTATCCGTCAGCTGTGATTGTTGCTGTGTATCCGTCAGCTGTGATTGTTGCTGTGTATCCGTCAGCTGTGATTGTTGCTATGTATCCGTCAGCTGTGATTGTTGCTGTGTATCCATCAGCTGTGAGTGTTGGTGTGTATCCGTCAGCTGTGATTGTTGCTGTGTATCCGTCAGCTGTCATTGTTGGTGTGTATCCGTCAGCTGTCATTGTTGGTGTGTATCCGTCAGCTGTGATTGTTTGTTTCTCTGTTCAAAAACAATAAATGTTTGCCCTTGTGTTGACACTACACGTGATGCAGCTCTCTGCCATATTGACTATCATCAACACCATTACTAATTACTAGTAGATACTAGTGGGTGATCTATCATCTATCTATCTACTATCTTCATAGTAGCTGTATAAGCTGAAGTAACAGTATTTTGTTTATAAATGTGTTCTCACCTAGTTGTGTTTGCGGGGGTTGAGCTCTGGCTCTTTGGTCCCGCCTCTCAACCGTCAATCAACTGGTGTACAGATTCCTGAGCCCTGTATGTGTGAGTGTGTGTGTGTGTGTGTGTGTGTGTGTGTGTGTGTGTGTGTGTGTGTGTGTGTGTGTGTGTGTGTGTGTGTGTGTGTGTGTGTGTGTGTGTGTGTGTGTGTGTGTGTGTGTGCGTGTGTGTGTGTGTGTGTGTGTGTGTGTGTGTGTGTGTGTGTGTGTGTGTGTGTGTGTGGGTCAATAGAAGCAGGTGTTGTATTTCCCTAACACCCGCTGGTCTTAGTACCATATATAAGTGTGTGTGTGGGGACGTGGCTATTTTCTCTCCTGTGGGTCGCCTGGTTCCCTCCATCATCACAATGTTTACATTCTTCTGGTTCGTCATTGCTGCTCTTTTCAATGTCATATTATTCTCCTTTATGCTTAATGTTAAGGTTCCTTATTGTTGAATCCCCTCCTTATCTTCTCTCTCTCTCTCTCTCTCTCTCTCTCTCTCTCTCTCTCTCTCTCTCTCTCTCTCTCTCTCTCTCTCTCTCTCTCTCTCTCTCTCTCTCTCTCTCTCTCTCTCTCTTTTCGTAGATATCCACTACGAGCCTAAATATATTATTAATATTATTTTGTGTTTCTTAACAATGGCCAAAATCACGCTAAGATTGTCAGTCCTCCACTCTGTCACCCCTGTCAATCATCCTCATCTGTCAACTGTCCTACCGGTCCTTACCATCGCCATTATCTGTCAAGAAATATGAATTTATTACCCCACTTGTCAAGCTGTTTGTTCCCGTATTGTTGACAGGGAGGGCCCATTCCCTTTCTGTCAATCATCATCCTTGTATGTACTCTTCCCTTGTGTCTGTCACCATGACCACCATCACCACAATAACAACCATTAACCACCATTAACCACCATTAACCACCAACCACCCGAGGCATACATAAACAGGGTAACATAAAGCTCCATATGGGACGCTGGCAAAGATTAAAATGTCGTTTAGAAACCTAAACCGGAGGCTCTAAACAAGACAATCTACACAACCGTCGTTAGACCAATATTGGAATATGCAGCACCGGACTGTAACCCCACACCGTGTGTGGCATCAAACCAAAACTGAACATTATAGATATACAGGCGAGGAGTCACAATAACGTGGCTGAAGTATGTTGACCAGACCACACACACTAGAAGGTGAAGGGACGACGACGTTTCGGTCCGTCCTGGACCATTCTCAAGTCCCTTGAGACTGGTCTAGGACTTGAGAATGGTCCTGGACGGACCGAAACGTAGTCGTCCCTTCACTTTCTAGTGTGTGGTCTGGTCAACATTATAGATATATAGTATGCAACAAGATTGGTGCCAGAGGTAAGAAGTTAATGGAACCAGACCCCACAGCCCTAGAGGAGGAAAGATATAGGGTGGATATGATCAAAACATACAAGATACTAATGGGAATAAACAAGGTGGACAAGAAAGGCATCTTTAAATTGAGACAAAGACGGACAGAAGAACGTAAGTGGAAGCTGGAAACGCAAATGAGTCTAAGAAAGGTCAGAAATACTCGTTCCTTATATAGGTAGTCAACAGTGTAGAACACACTGAAATAAGGTCAACTTTAAACCACTTTTAAGGTCAGAATCTAATGTACAAGTGTTTATAAGTGTGTTTACACAACACAGACGAAATGTTTTTACTCGAAGTGGAGTTTTGATTGCAAATGTTGCTTCTGTTTTCTCTCTAACGACCCTGAGAGGTCAAAAGGATTAGCGGGGTGACATAACTACGCGCTGGTCAGTCTAGTCACATTGTTGTTCTGCGTTAACGGTGAAATATCCCGTGTTGGGATTGGCTGTAGCCTAACTCCGTCTCTGTCTTTAGTTTGTTTTCCAGAGAGCACGTAGCCCCTGTCTATAGTCACCCTCCACCCCTACACCCACGACCCCCCCCCCCACGACCCCCCCACACCCACGACCCCCACACCCTCCACACCCTCCACGATCCCCACACCCTCCACGACCCCTCAACCGAGAAGTCATAGAAAATGATTTACAGCCGCTCTCAACTCCAATGTTTACAACTCATTTACAGGCTTTTACCCGGCTCTGCGCCTCCTTGCACTACTCTAATGAATATTCCGGCTAATCCCGTCTCCTAATGACGCCATTAATTTGGAACGCATTAACCAGTGTTGGAGTGCGATCAGCAGCCCGTGTTGTATTGTTCGTGCGCTGGTAAATACCACTCATAGAAAACGTGGACTGGAAAAAACGCGAAGTGAGTTAAACTGAGTAGGGTCTAAAATCTGGAGAAAAATGATGTACCTTTCTACGTCATTGATACTCTTTGAACACACATCTCTTCTAACGTAACCTAATCGAACCGAACCTAACTTAATATTATCTATTCATACGTTACCTAATTTATCCGAAGCTAACCTAATTTAAACAATTCTAACCTAACAATAATTTGATATTAAATGTAGTAATTTATATCTTCAAATTCAAATTTGTATTTAAAGAATTTGTGTAAAAAGCACATAAAAGTGATGCACAGTTGTGAAGACAGCAGTTATATATATTAATAAAGCTACCATTATACATATCAGAAATTATTCAACAAGAGGCTCACAACAGTCACTATACAAGGCACTTTACATTTATAGTGAGTCACACAGTTACTAGTCTTGCTCCACACCCACCCAACTGGGCGGCAGCTTTACAGCCATGCGCTCCACACCCACCCAACTGGGCGGCAGCTTTACAGTCATGTACTCCACACCCACCCAACTGGGCGGCAGCTTTACAGTCATGCGCTCCACACCCACCCAACTGGGCGGCAGCTTTACAGTCATGTGCTCCACACCCACCCAACTGGGCGGCAGCTTTACAGTCATGTGCTCCACACCCACCCAACTGGGCGGCAGCTTTACAGTCATGTGCTCCACACCCACCCAACTGGGCGGCAGCTTTACAGTCATGCGCTCCACACCCACCCAACTGGGCGGCAGCTTTACAGTCATGTACTCCACACCCACCCAACTGGGCGGCAGCTTTACAGTCATGCGCTCCACACCCACCCAACTGGGCGGCAGCTTTACAGCCATGTACTCCACACCCACCCAACTGGGCGGCAGCTTTACAGTCATGTACTCCACACCCACCCAACTGGGCGGCAGCTTTACAGTCATGTACTCCACACCCACCCAACTGGGCGGCAGCTTTACAGTCATGTGCTCCACACCCACCCAACTGGGCGGCAGCTTTACAGTCATGTGCTCCACACCCACCCAACTGGGCGGCAGCTGCACCTACAGTAAGCAAATTTTGGATACTTCGCTAAGATTCCTGGCAGTACATCATCATGAATGAAGTATTACCCATTTCTTAGACACCATTGATTGTGTTGGTGTCTCTGAATTTATCAATTTTTCACATTGCATTACATGTATAAATATAGTGATAGTGATGAAAGATGGTGGTAGTGCTTACCTATCAGTGATTACCGGGGAATTGAGCTCTAGCTCTTCATACCTTCCCTCCTACTCATTCGTACCTGTCATGCTAATTACCTATCTCATTATTAACGTTTTTCTAATATTTGTTGATGGGATTGGCTTCAACAACCTCTTCCTTCATTGCATTCTACTTACTAACCATCAGTACAGGGAACGAGGGCTTCCTCACCTCTTGGACTCAGTTATGTCTGGATTCCACCCATGTCCCCTTGTCCTACTTCTTTATCATTTAAATAGGCTTCCTATATCCACTTTATCTTGTCCCCTTAAGATCTTGTACGTAGTTATCATAACCTCTCTGATATGTTGATGTTGGTTACCTGGTTGATACCTGGTTGATGGGGTTCTGGGAGTTGTTCTACTGCCCAAGCCCGGCCCGAGGCCAGGCTTGACTTGTGAGAGTTTGGTCCACCAGGCTGTTGCTTGGAGCGGCCCGCAGGCCCACATACCCACCACAACCCGGTTGGTCCGGCACTCCTTGGAGGAAACAATCTAGTTTCCTCTTGAAGATGTCCACGGTTGTTCCGGCAATATTTCTTATGCTTGCTGGGAGGGTGTTGAACAGCCGCAGACCTCTGATGTTCATACAGTGTTTTCTGATTGTGCCTATGGCACCACATAGGTGGTGGTGGTAGTAATGATGTTGACGGTAGTGGTGGTAGTGATGGTGGTGGTGGTGGTTAATCTTCATCAATCAAGCGAGTGAATTTGTTGGGAATATGGTGGGAGAAATAGCTTTCTGAATTTATGTTAGTATGGGATTAAGAGTGACCATTTTCTTGGGTATTTTCTGCGATAGAGTACGTGGCTGGTGAGTATGATGGGGAGACTAAAGAGGATGTTCTATTATTAGAGAATTATTCTATTATTAGAGAATTATTATTAGAGAATTATTCTATTATTATTCTATTATTACTATTAGATTGGTGTATTCTCTTAATTCATAGTGTCGGGGGACAGGCAGCCAGTGTAAAAACTCAGTACATGTTAGGTTCATAGCGAGGTCCTCCCCCAGGGTTTAAACGATTCTTCGCGGCAGGGGATCGTATTCCAGGGACCTGCCCGAAACGCTACGCGTACTAGTGGCTGTACAAGAATGTAACAACTCTTGTATATATCTCAAAAAAAAAAAAAAAAAAAAAAAAAATTACTGACCCTCCCCAGGATGCAGCCCCACAACAAGCTAACTTCTGGGAACCTATTTAATGCTAGTGGGGGGCCAGGGTCTGACGGCTGAGTGGACAGCGCTTAGGATTCGTAGTGAGGTCCACTACCACC